AGCAGGAATTATGTCTAATATTATTTCATCAGCTTATGGGGGATGCAAAAGAGACAAGAGAAACGCACACTCTCTGCCCTTACACAACTTATATATTGAAGCTACTTATAGAAATCAAACATTATGTATATTGGGGCTGCAGATAAAAAATTCTTCATACTGTCACACCAGTACACTTGTAAAATCTGATAGAATGAAAAAGGAATAGTAAAACATTGGTTATTTTACCAAATTTAAAATGCTTAGTGAACATACTAATGAGACTACCTGGTTTATTTAGATTATTTTTTACGCTTTTTAAAAAGCCGATGACCATAAAATTCCAACAAAGATCATCAGTTAAGTAAAGTTAATAATATCCTTATGATGGAAAGATCTGCAACTTCTAAAAAACTTGTTTGGGATAACGTTTAATAACATGGCGGAAAGAAAGGCTCACAATATAAAGTGAAAAAACTCAAGAAACACAATTGTTCATGTAATTTTGTAAAGAAATATATACATGCTTTTCAAAAAAAGACTAACTGGAAATAAAAGTCACAGTGACTATTTCTGGATAATTGAATTACAGGTTCTTCTTTCTCTATTTTCTAATATTTAATACTGAACATTTATTATTTATATAATCAGCTATAAGAATATACTTTTAAAGGTGGCTTCACTATATTAACAACTCTATGGTCTTGAAATGGGAAATTTTTCTACCTCCAAGTAATACAGGTTTTTAATCCCCAAGTAATGTCTTGTGATCCTCAAAAAACATCTACTAGGAGCATGTACGCCAAGACCACACACTTCTGTTCCTTTACCTTCTCTTACTCTTGGGCAACGCAGTTGACTTCCTTGGATGTCATTTTGTTCTACCTTGTGCCAAGTAAGGTATTTAAAAGAATCTGATGGAAGCTTTAAAATAAGAGAGAAGAGAAATATCATCTGGCAATATATAGTTCACTTACTTTTATGGGTGCAAGTAATGCGAACCCATCCCAAACATTCAGCCAGATTAACTGTGTGTGCTCATAAACGTTATCTTAGTCCAATCTAAATTGTGTATTATATCTTAGTCCAATCTAAATTATGTATTATTCAACTTTGCATCTCCAACACCTGCAACTGATTTATGTTTGATGACAAATGACAGCAGAAATAAATATATTACCCATTCATGAACCCATTTTACACCAGCTCTGATAAACTGTCCTTTAATATTTATTGAATAGCTCATAAAGAATCTCATTCCATTTTAGAAGAGTTGTAATTGTTAATGGCTCTTCATTATATGGACCGCAAGTAATCCCTCTAAGTTAGTTCAGTTGTACAAGTTCTGCCTTTTGAGGCTACACAGAAGAATCCCTCCACATGTGACTACTATTTTAAGTGTTTGGTAATAGTTGTCATCTTCTTTGTCGTTTAGATATTACTCACAGATCATGGTTTACAAATTATTCAATATCCAGGGAAAACATGGTTCTCCTTGGGAAGAGTTCCATTTTATTGACATTGCTCTTAAAATGTGTAGCCAGTATTGAATGAAATATTTCAGGTCTGGTCATCTTCCTTTTCTGGACAGTATATTACTGACTAGAATATGTGCCAAGATCATATCTAGGGCAATTTTATGTTGTTTACTATTACTGAGGTTGTAATCAATTAAAATTCCTGTATTTTACATTGCTTATGATAGTTTCAAGGTTAACACGAACAAAATGGCATATTACTCAGAAAGGAATATTATGTTAAATACATACGCCATAGATTTATTCTTCTGTTAGCCAGTGTTATGCACATATATAAATGAACCCGGAATATTTGATTTGAAGAAATGTCATTACAATATTTGGAACAACTGAATTCGTTTCACAGAGCAGCATTTTGCATAGTTTATGCTTTGCTTGAGCTGTACATTTGTGTGACTAATACTAACATGAAAAACATTTCCACCATTAAATAAGCTTATGAGGCTCTGGATTACACCGAACTAAGCATTTCTCTTACTACAGGACTTCTCTGAGCCTTTAGTATCTTAGCATATATTGTGAGTCTGTACTACAAAGTGTTCCCCTGGACTTTTAAACCAAAGAACCTTTTATTCTTAGAGCAGCACATGGGACTAGTGCATCCTGTAAAGCAGAATTTGGGAAAAGCTGCCTCAAAATAAATTGGGAAGAGGTGGCTTTTTAATAATCAATTAGCTTTGATCTTTTACTTCATTACTTCATCACTGAATGACCTTAGTTGTTCCATAAATATTTCAATATCTTCATTTTAAAAATAACAAAAGCTCTCTCCCTCATTAAGAGCAACATTAAAAAGTTAATTAGGGGTTCCCTGGTGGCGCAGTGGTTGAGAGTCCGCCTGCCGTTGCAGGGAGCACAAGTTCGTGCCCTGGTCCAGGAAGATCCCACATGCCGCGGAGCAGCTGGGCCCGTGAGCCATGGCCTCTGAGCCTGCGCGTCCGGAGCCTCTGCTCCATGACGGGAGAGGCCACAACAGTGAGAGGCCCGCGTACCACAAAAAAAAAAAAAAAAAAAAAAAAAAAAAGTTAATTAATTCTTGAGCAATTCTTTGAGATAATTTGAGGATTGGCTAACATACTTTCAAGGAATTCACTCATTCTTCAGAACTATAGTTTTAAAAAACAAGAAGCACAAATACATTTCAGATTATTGAAAAATGTAACCTCTGGCCCATTCTTGTTTGTTCAATTTACATGTTTATGGAAGCTTCTTTCCCAACCTGTTATGTGCTTTTGGAGTTTTTTGCTTGCTCCTATCTTAGAATAAAAATTTCTTAGAAGTTAAATTTCCTGTAGTTGCCACACCCCATTTACCTTTTGGTGCTATTTCTTGAGACTCTTACTGAGAAACAAAGAATCTAAGCTAAAGCTGTATTTGAGAATAAAGTTTCCATTTTTCAGTTGACATCTAATTTTGTACAAAAACGTGTGTTTTTTAAAAACTTTCATCTTATTTAATTTTTAAAATTGCATCTATCCTTTAATATTCATTGCAAATGCTGCCTCCTCCATTTTAAAAATTTATTTATTTCATTTATTTATTTTTGGCTGCGTTGGGTCTTCATTGCTGTGCTCGGGCTTTTCTCTAGTTGCAGCGAGCCGTGGCTACTCTTTGTTGCGGTGCGTGGGCTTCTCATTGCGGTGGCTTCTCTTGTTGTGGAGCACGGGCTCTAGGCACACGGGCTTCAGTAGCTGTGGCATGCAGGCTCAGTAGTTGTGGTGCACGGGCTGAGTTGCTCCAAGGCATGTGGGATCTTCCCGGACCAGAGATCGAACCCGTGTCCCCTGAATTGGCAGACGGATTCTTAACCACTGCACCACCAGTCCCTGTCTGTTTTTGAAAGGAGTTATGAGATTGATTTTGGGATTTCTGACATTGTAGGAAAATGAGCCTTTGCACTTCTTTGTTTATATCTATGTAACGCTGTCAATGTGTTGCAGTTCTGTGACCGTTGTTTCTTCTTAAAGGAATAGTGAATATTTGTGTCTTACCCTGTTCTTTTTTCTTTTTTAATTCTGATGGACCAATTGAGTAATCCATTTGTTCAATAAATATTTTTGAATATTTTGAATTTCAATCCATTCATTTATTCACAAATATATATTGTACCCTTGCTATGTGTCAGGCACTCTGTCAGGCACTGAGGATACGAAGTTAAATAAAATATGGCATTTGTGCTTGAAAAACTCATTTTCTGTAATTTGGGAGGCAGACATATAAATAACTCATTTTGATCCAGTGGGATGAGTGGAACAATTTTGAAAGAAGGAAAAGAGAAAAGGCCTGGTTGATTCCACTCAGATGTGTTAGAGGGAAGTCTTGGAAGTGGTGAGTTTACGAGGAGAAAATTTTATCTTGTGGCCAAAGGCCATTCCAGAAAGAAAAGAGATAGACTAGGAACAGAATTTGAACTCAGTGGGGGAAAGGAAGGGATGCCATTTTTGTTTCTCTGGTCATTGTCTTTTCTACTCATCTTGGTCTCTTTTGTCTTCCTTCCTCCACCTCAGATTCTTTCCCTTGCCTCTTTGAGTTGGGACTGAGGGTACCAACCTTTTATTTTCCCCCCAATTACAAGGATAGGTTTAATACACTTATTAAAAGTTTATACACTTTTTAAGATACACTTATTTAATAAGTGTATAAAGGTTATACACTTATTAAAAGTGTATTATAATTATACACTTATTAGAAAGTGTTAAATCCAAGATAAAACACATTTTTAAACTTATCATTAGGTAAAAGGCTAATCAAAAATATTTACCAGGGATGATATTCCAGAATCCGAACGTGAACAAAAAGTTCTGTTCCTCAAGAGAGCCGAGCTGAGTGAGTCACTCAGATCGGAGGTGTAGGATGAATTAGATGGATGAATCTCCTGACTGCTTGTGTTTTGACCTGAAGAGCTGAATGAAAGAAAATGCCTAAAGTCTTTAAATGTAAATACCTTTGTATAAAACAACAATAACAACAAATTATAAGCACCAACTTTTCCAATTAGAGGAGAGATAAATGATACCCTAGGAATTCTGTCATAGTCCTACGCACATTTTTTTATGGCTAACAGTCACTTAAGACAAATTCTCTCCCAGGGTAAGGGTGTCTACATAGATTGCAGATCTTAGAAAAGTAAATCTAATGGTACACACGAATACATGCTTATAGGATATGAACGAGAAAGTCAGCCCTAATTTTGGAATATCATTCCTAGTAGAGCTATCATTGCAGATTTGGCACAAACAAGCCTTAAACGCCATACTGGTTTTTCCATTGATCTGGACCTTCCATTTTCCCTGAAATTTCCCCCAAACCTCTTATATTTCCTCAGATTGTTGGCAAACATATTAAAAATTCAGGTTCTTTAATCAATTTTACTCACTTTGAAATAATACTCAAACATTTCACTTAACAACAGTCCAGTTCTCTCTGTATTCCCATTGTTATGCCACTGGGATATAAAATGTCTTTTTCGCTCTCCTGTATTTATTATTCACCGTTATTCTTGCACTTTTCCCTTTCTCCTTAGCAATGGTTATATGTTTCTCTTTCTGTAATTGGTGCTATGTAGTATTTTAAGCCAATTAAAACATATCTAAATATGCTTTTTCATGTTAAGTAAAACTAGAAATTGTATCTATTTCTGACCTCTTTTTACTCTTTGGGGATCATTTTTCAGACTCCAAGAAGCTTAAGAGACAGCATTCTATATTTATGACAGTTATTATGTAGCTCTACAGCAATTTTACTTACAAGAAACTGACACTTCTTGTATATTGAAGTTGCCTTCATGAAGTACAATGTAAAAATATTTTTCATTTTTCATTCATTAACTGATGTGCTATAGTGGAAGAGCATAGCCATTACATCATTTCAAAAAATAGCACTACTGTGCCATTAAGAAAATAAAACTGTGTCCTATTATCAAGGAGAAAATGATTCCTCCATCTGCTACTAAATAACAAATCAGAGACTTGGTCTCAATTATGTGAAAAAGTCAGAAAATATATGCCTTTCAGTTCTTTTACACTTGAGCAATTCTTTAATAACTTGGATACTGTTTCTTGACATTACCAAGGAATACCTTACCATAGCCACAAATTAACAAACATTAGGAGAACAACATTACATTGTGCAAAATTTATTATTCCTGAGGCAGGTAAATCCTACTATCTATGACCAGAGTTTTGGCCAACAATCAGGGAGAAAAAAATGGGGCAAAATGGAACAGTATTTCAGGGGATGAACAGAGGATAAAAGTTGAACTGACTTTTTTGGTTCACTTGTCTTTATGAAACTATGCTAGCCATTTTCTGCCAAAATGAAATCAGGAAAATAAGGGTAATGAACATGACTGAATCTTTCTTCAGTGACTGATGTTCTGTGATTCTAAACTTCAGTGGTGGTTACACAGTGATGAGACGCTGACTCGTAAGTGTAAGAAATGGTCTTATTTTGCTTAAAGCAGACAACAGGGGAAAAAATAAGTTCACATAACCAAAATATCTGATGAGAGAGATCCGGCTGATTGGGTTTTCAGTACACTTTTCTTGTGTAGTGCTACAAGACCAAGCCCAACGGCTTCAAGGTAAAATCACGTTTACAAGTAACTGAAAATTATCTCATCATCTTAATTTACATTAGCAGGTTTGAGAGTTTAACTTAAAGAAGTTCTTGCGCCATTACCCTGACTACTACTGGACATTTATGAATAATAGGAGGGAATTAAAACTTCAGTAACACGAGTACATACGCAAATAACATCCCCACTATTTCTTTTTCTCTCCCTTTTATTTTTTTCCTGCCAGAATGGAATGAATTGAATTTGGTGTAGAGTTTCAGCTAAGGACAGATGATCTGAGAAGATTCAAACCAGTAGATGACTAGTCTGACTCTCTTTCAGTGTGATATCTTTCTGTGGGTCCCAAAGGCTGGATTCCTTCTCTCACATTCATATACGCTTCCTGAGCGCCACACCAGAGGGCAGTGGTGAAGGGCAGTATGCTGGAATCTTGCAGAAAAACCTTTGGGACATTCTGAAAATCTTCTTTGTCCCGTTACTTCTATCTTAAATTCCATACAGAAGTTTTCTTTGGTCTGCTTTTTGGGGAGAAATATCAGCAAAGAAATATAATTTCTGATCCTTTAGTTCAGAAAAAAGAAAAGGTACATCATCCTCAAACTTCTACTCCATCTGCTTTAATGCACACATCACTGATGTCAAAACTGCAAGACCTGTGAGTCTTAGGAATCTACAAACAGCTACTGCTGTGACCTCGGGTCACGTAGCACCTCTGGTAGTTCCTTACCTTTAATATTCAGAAGATGATGTGGACTCTGCCTGAGTGAAAAGGTTTTCTGTTTTGTTTTGCAACGTTATTGCCATGATGACAACTATTACTAATATAATAATTTTACAGTTAACATTTCTTGAGCACTTGCTATGTGCTAGGCATTGTACTAAGAACTTTATGTAGATTAACTCATTTAATCATTACAGTCACCAAACAAAGTGGGTAACATTATTATTTTGATTTTAGAGATGAGGAAATTGAGGCCCAGAGAGGTGGCATAACTTGCCCAAGTCACACAAGTAAATGACCAAGTGTTCTTAATTACTAGGGTTCAAATAAGATTCAGATAAGCTACTGTGATTCTTTAAATAACTGTAAATCTGTATCATTTATTAGGGTGCAGTTGTTAGTAAGGAAAATCATTAATATTGATCTTTCTTATTCTGAATGCTCCACTTAACTACAGATAAATAATTTACTAGTTAATAGAACATGTAAATCTTAGCACTGACTGTTTACTGAAAACAAAAGGTAAGCCTTTAGTAGTAGAACCTATGAGAACACCATTCCACATAACATCAAGCTGTTTTTAAAACCCTCTCCTATGGCCCCTCCCCAAAAGAAAATAAAACTAGACTTGCAGTTTAGTTGGTATATTGGTTTACTCATTTTTGATCTTTCTGCCTGCAGTGAACAAACAGTTATCATAAATTACAACTCTAAATCCTTATGAAAGAGAAATTAATTTTATTAATGCTGTAGTATAAAGCTGCCACAGAGGAGGTGCCATGGCTAAAACTGTACATTTGTCAGGAGTAACTTATAGTGTCTTTAAATTAGGTGGTATTATCTGAATTGGCCATCTATTCTTGGTTTTAAAAAGTATAGAATGGCCAACAAGAAGGAATCGGGTAAGCTGAGACTGCAGGATGAAAAACAATAATAATATCTATTAATTCATGAGCCCCTTTCATTGGAAGATTGCAATGTCCTTTACAATCAGGAATTTATAAGCCTCATAAATTGTCGGCTGCAACAGGGTGCTGTTTAATTCGAATATCAGGTTGGTGATTATGTAGCTTTGTAAGGAGAGTGAAGGAGAAAGTGGCAGATGGCCTAGTTTCTGAGGTGAAGCCGAGCTCTTGAGGTGAGGGAGGCTATATTGGACACACACCAACCAGAAGGCCAGAGGGCACCTTACAGACACCCAGCATTATCTAAATTGCATTGCCTGTGATTCCATTTCTAAATGTTCCATTTACATTCAGTGCTGCATCATGAGAGCTTTGTATTTCTAAAGGAAGAAAAAGCTCAGTCATATTTTTCAGTTAGCAAAGGACACTCCCCAAATCCTCAAATGCTCTCTTTCTCCTCCCCAAATATTGAGCTAGGTTCTCAAATCTAGTGGAATCTTGCTAAACCCAGGCACTTCTTAGGTTACTGGCTAGAGGAAAATTACCACAGACTCTAGAGCATTAAATTTGGGTGAAAGGAGATATCAATCCAGCCTCTGATTTCTTTCACCGTTCTTCTTATCTTTTAAAATCCAGAATCCCTGTCCTCTGTGTCTATATTTAAATGTATTCATTTGTAAAACGGGTGATGATTTTACTACCTGCATGCTAGAGATGGTGATGAGATAATATAAAGTACTGGGAAAGGAAGTTTCATGAAATCAAGAAGTAATTTGGTATCATAATGTGTTAGTTTCTGGAATGGCAAATTTGGTATACCAAGTTATTATGTTCAAATTTGGGATGGCTGTAAATTAATTTCCCAGAACTAAACCCATAAATTGAGTAAATAATCGTATAGCAATGAACTGTTCTAAAAAACTGTGTGTTTTACAGATATCCCTCAAATTTTAGTATCCAAGGCCCAGGATTGTAACAGATATATCTGAAATTGTTTAGATTTTTGATTCTAAAAACATAGCACAACTAACTGTAATTTTGAAAAATATACAACTAAAATGATCATTTCTCTATTTCTATCTGAATGGGTCAGATTTTAATCTTATGCGACCTTGTATTCTTATGAATTTTGCTTTTCCCTGTTGTTCCAACCCCGTGTGCATTCTTATAAACCCAAATAGGTCCCCACATTAAGGTACAACAAAAGTAAAAGAACAAACATGTATCAAACTTCTCTAGAGGGAAAGCTTGTAAACTTCAGTACCTGTTAGTGGGTTCACTGATATTTATAGAAATAAGAAGTTATATTAAAATACCAAAACCAATGGAGATAGACTGAGATACCTCTATGTTCCATTAACAAAATTATATTTAGAAATTTTTAGAACTTTATTGTAACCACATATATAGCTGTTATTTAGAAGATTCCCAATACTTAAGAACGTTTTACTACAGAAACATAGATCAATGGAACAAGATAGAAAGCCCAGAGATAAACCCACGCACCTATGGTCAACTAATCTATGGCAAAGGAGGCAAGGATATGCAATGGAGAAAAGACAGTCTCTTCAATAAGTGGTGCTGGGAAAACTGGACAGCTACATGTAAAAGAATGAAATTAGAACACTCCCTAACACCATACACAAAAATAAACTCAAAATGGATTAGAGACCTAAATGTAAGACCGGACATTATAAAACTCTTAGAGGGAAACATAGG